CACACACACACACACACACACACACGTATACAGACAAGCAAATGCTCAAATATTCATTTCAAATGAACAAGAATTAAAATTTGTTTATCAAATAAAAGAAAATATAATAACATAGCTAGTATTTTTGAAAAACAAGTCTTTGTCTGTGCTCTTGTAGAACATGCATTAAGTGAAATTAGTAACATCAAACAGCTGCAGAAAGACATATCACTTTAATCCTAACTGCAAAAAGTAATTTGCAGTTAGGATTAAACTTTAATAATTGTGAACAATTCATACAATACTCATACAATATTGTAAACACTTATATATTACAGAAGCAAACATTTTTTCATTCAACACCTGAGCTGTTTTTAAATCACTTCAAGCACAGCCTCACATGGCTTGGGGCCTAATTACAGATTCTTCTCTCCAGCATGCTCTGCATACAAATGCACACAACTAGGCAAAGCCTGATGGGGTGCACAAACAAAGACTGCCACATGGGAACATACAGGGAAAAAACTAAGGTATTCTCTTGATGTTGGGGTAAAAGATATGGCATGCTGGTGCGACACAAAGACAAGATCTCAATGTACAGCAAGGTGGCTGTTTGGGTGGCTATACAGAGTGTCACAAAAATTATTATAACTATAGACCAATCTGCATTGATATAAAGTTTCCATCATGTCAAAGCAACCACTGCTTTTTCTCTTACAAGAAGCAACTGAACTTGAAAAAGACTGTAGCAGGGCTGAAACTATAAAAAAAACAAACCAATAAACAAAAACAAACAAACAAACAAAACAGTCCCTTGGCCTGCAGGCATCCTACACCCTCATCAGTCTATAGTAACAAACATTATGAATATGTGAACCTTAGATTATGAAATAAAAGCATATTAACTATGCAGTAGCTACCTGTAAGAGAGCTGCTTTAGAAACACAACTAAAACAGGTCTTTGTTTGTTGGATATTTTTACTTTTAAATTCTTTGCTTTGTTTAAAGAATATAAAATGTCATTTTGAACAGTCACACCATGTTTGATAAACAATATAAAGCCCTGGAAACATAACAATCATATTTAACACTTGTTTAACACTTCATTCGCACCAATATTAGTTGCAACTTTAGTATAACTAATAACCACCAAGATGCTAGACAGTCTACAAATAAATAATACCAGCAAGGAAACATTTAAATGAGTATGGTTTTGTAGCTTAATGTGGTAACGGTTTCTGCATGCATAAATTAAGGATTAAGCAAGATTACATTCTTCTATGATGCTCATAAAATGTGCTCACTCCACCTGCATTAACAACAAAGGTAGCTGTGTTACCATTTCAGCAGGTGCGTATGTTTCATTTAGGTGTAATCAGATGGGCAGAAAATTTACAAAAAACCCTGTGTGACCATGGACAAATCAATATAGCTTTGCAGCAGGTGTGACCTTGGACCTGTTATTTCCTATGGGGATGAACAGAACAGCTAGGAATGAATGGTATCATTACCCACACACATACAGAAGCCCCATTGCAAGTACACATGGGTATACAAGCAGACAGAAGTAAACAAATACAAACAGAAAAATCTATCCTGCCAAACAAGACCACAAGAAAATACATGCAAAGACACACTCAATCATGAGCTGTTGGAATTTGGAACAAATCAGGCAAGGAGAAAAGTTGAAAAGAGGACAACCCATTGTCTTTGTATTGTGAATTTCTTCAGTCCAACAGAAAGGCCTTAACAGAGATTTTTGACTCATGACAAATAACAACAAAAGGGAACACTCTTTCAAACATAAAAAGTTCTCAAAGGTGCTGTGGGTGAGGAAATGGTGATTTAAAGGAATCTGCTGCCAAGATGAGCTGCTGGACATTTCATGGAGATATATTACTCTAGATGATTAGCATTTTGCAACATGTGACACACAAACAAGAACAATTTAATTAAAGGATACTCAGAAGAAGGATGATGTGAGACTCTGCCACAAACTGTGCCTGACTGCTGCCATGAATATAACTCTGGGGGGAAGAGAAAGAGAAGAAAACAATGTCAGTTAAGAATTTTCTTTTCAGCTAGTAATTCAGTCACTAACAAACTCAATAAAACTTCTATAATAAACAAAAGCCACGGTGGGATTGTGGTTCTGGAATTATTTTGTATTACCACACAGTAATGCTACCAGTTCTTTAAAGGGCTAAACTGAATCATCAGATAAAGCCTGTTTAAAACTAACTTCAGTTGTGTTCCCAGACAGCAGTTGTATACTCTTTCTGCAGTGTCCATGGAGCGTTTCTACCAGCTGGCAGTGTATTATAAATGCACTAGACAAACAAGCAAATAAACCTTAAAAATAATTGAGTAAAATCTTTCCCAATGTGACGTTCTGAGGGTGGCATAAAATGGAGCATAGACAGGACGAACAGGATTTTAAGAGACCCGTCACTAGTGTTTTAATAAATGAATAGAAAGTGGGGATCTGAGTGGAGAAGTAATTGTATTTAATTGTATAAATGTGTGTTGCTTGAGTATGTTTCTAGATCAGAATACGAGTTCATTAATGTGTTTGTTCATATGACTCAAGCCTGAAGAATTATCCATGTGGTGTGTAGGTGTATAGAAAGGGTACATTTTTCATGCAGTGGGCAGAGAGGTCAACCTAAACCTACATTACCAATCACACACACATACACATATGATTGCTCTGAATGGGAATTGGTACAATGTTTTATGCAGTCTGCCAAAGCTAAACTTCCCACTTCAGTACAATCTTCTCTAAATGTTGAATTAATTGTACTTTAAAATCTTTCAGAATGAATCAAATACAAAACAATAAAAAAAACAAAATGGAAATAGTACAGGGTCATCAAATCTAACCGTTCCAGAAAGACAAATTATAATTATCCTGATTTCTATGCATTTCAGACACTTTATGATCAGAATCATTGACGTCTAACAGATTGTTCTTTTTTCCGCTATAACTTATAGCCATCTAAACCTGATGATATGCTTGGACTAATGTCCCCGCGGAAGCTCATACTTTATTGAGATTCGAAGCAAAATGCTGGGATTCCAGCTCCTGTGCTAAGATGTCAGAGGTCTACTTTGACTAACATTTGTCTGTTAGAGAAAAAGAAGCAGACAAAATGAGGGTGTGAGTAAAGGAAACAAACAGAAGAAGGGAGAAAGTCTTTCAGAGTGTTTAACATTGTTGAATCCCTGCAGATTATCAGTGTCTAGGCAGATCAAGGGTCTGTTTTTCCACTTGACTGGTGTAGTGTTCATTCCTTTTCTATCAGACAAGAATAAGTATGGAAAGATGAATAGAAGATGACAAAAGAGGTGGAGTAGAGGGTGGACAGCTTTTTCTTGCTTCAGTGGAGAGAAGTGAAGAATTTTTGCACTTGAAAGCAGATAAAAACAATGAGGCCTCAGTGCTGAAACAGATCCTTTTGTTTTCGGTATAAACCTGTTATTCTCCATTAGCTAGGATTTTTAAAATTATTTTTGGCATTCTTTTCTTGCTGACTAGAAAAACAAAGCCCATGTACTAGAACAATGGGAAACTGTTTGGAAATTTTCCTTACATTCCTAATCAGTACATTTGAAACTGGAAGGGGAATTTTGGTTCAGCAGTGGTGGCACATTGGGCAACTTCGGACTGCCTGTCTACTTGCAGTGAACGGCTCTGGGGCAGTGGCAAAAATATTTGGTGCATCTGGTCTGTAGTCTCCTCTTCCTAGTGCTCTTATTAGTCCATCCATCAGTGGCAGAGAAGAGAGAAGTTGTAACATACAAAGAGCTGAAGTGAAGCTGAGTGTTAAAAACAACGAAAAGTCTCCACCGCAGCTGCTGTCTGTACTTCTTTGAGCTTTTTGCCCCTCCTCAGACATCTCCACATAGACAACAGAACGGCAGATAGTGGCTTGCACCTTCACCATTTCCTAACTTCCCTGTTTTGTGTCAATAGAAAAAGCAATTTGCATTTGCTGGTGATGATACTAACCTAATACTCATATACAAAATGAAAAATAAAATGACAACTATAGAATACACCATTTGTGAACATACTGTAAACTGTCTGTGAAGGTTCTCAGTCATCCAGGTCATTGTAGTCAAAGGAGCTTGCAAAGAAAAGCGTCTGGACTTCTTTAAGTTACTTGAAGGCGTTTCACCTCTCATCCGAGAAGCTTCTTCAGTTCTAAGGTCACCATTTGACCTCTCCACCATTTGACCTTAGAACTGAAGAAGCTTCTCGGATGAGAGGTGAAATGTCTTCAAGTAACTTAAAGAAGTCCAGACGCTTTTCTTTGCAAGCTCCTTTGAATACTGTAAGCTCTTAATATCATGAACCGAATTTACCTATTAGATGGGCACTGTGCCAGATATATTGACACACTAGTATAAACCCATTTCAGATGACGGGGTACTTTAAACCCATGATTTGCCCCCTTTAAAAGGTTAAAGCTTTTGCTTGCTAAGTTGATAATTGACCCATCACATGAGTTTCAACTGATAACCACTGTAAGATATAGTTCAGACCAGGATATGCAAAACAAACAATCTCTAGCTGCCTTTTGTCCTTACACCTACATAAGCTTTTTGAATGAACTTCTGGTGTATTTTTCAGTTAACTGTAGAGCTCTTCATTTTAATACCGACTAAGAAGCCCACTCACATTTTCAGGAGACTATTAGTTAAGCTCGTTAAGTACACACAACAGTATGAAGGGGTTAAAAAAAACCTGCCACAATGACAAAACAAATTAAACAAGTCCTAGAAAGTTTGGGAAACCACACACTGAAACTAATAGGTGTGTCAGTATCCAATGGGGATTTTTCTTTCATTACCGGAACTAAAAAAACAACCTCCAAACAACAAAAAAACCACATCCATACCATTGTTCCACTTGCTACATGTTACCCTTAAGCACAAAACAAGTCAATGCTTGGCGGATAAAACATTCTTCAATCCATGGTTGGGCACTTCCAATTAATCTGATGTATTAAAATGTAGCTGTTTAATTCATTAATGTGCGGAGCAGAACAGAGTGGGCATGTTTCAGTGTACGTAGCTAAACAGGTGTCCACAAAACACGTAAGTAAATGTTGGTATATTAAACTGTTTAGAGAGAACAGCCTTTTGAGACATTTTGTGTGGCTTTTGTGTGAGTGTGCGTTAATCAGAAGGATTTACCTCAAAGTGATTTGGGGTATAAAAGCAGCAACCTTTAGTCTTCATGTTGCTGAGATAACAAAGACATTTAAATGAGCTAATGCAGAAGTCACATCTTGTAACTTTTTCTCTTACTTAAAAAACAGAAAACAAACAAAAGCAACCCCCCCAAAAACTAAATCCCATTCTCTGATCTATATAATCTATATAATAGATCAATGTACTTGGTGCCATTAACTAAATTCATCTTATATTGTAAGGTTTGCAATATTATATGGTTATATTTCACTCAAAATCCCACAAAAAGGTCAAAACATAATATTAGTCATTTGCTCAGTTCTGCTTCAAGTCTATCTGTTGCTGCTCAGTGCAATACATAGAAACCCTCACCCTGACATACTCCATAATCTGTGAAGTACGCCTAATATACAGAAACCCTTGTTAACATTTTTTGTTTTAAATATTTCTTGTTTTTACTTTTGTTTCATTTTTTTAATACACAAGAAAAAAAAAACTATTATATGATCGCTGGTGCCATTCTGGTGCACAGCATGCTGACACATATATTTTCTCCTTTTTAAATAGGCTCACAATGTCTTGCCTGCATAAATTTAGGCAGGTTCATGCTGGGGAGCGTCTGGTACAACTGCAGTCTACTACTGCTCCAATTAATCTGATGGATTAGTTTTTTTGCTTTTTGGAGGGTTATTTTGGTTCTTTTTTTTAAGACTGCCATGTCTGCAAATTAGGTTAAAACATTGTTTGTCTTGTATTAACAAATGATTTAAGTTAGATAGAGTGGTAAATAAAAGTTGGACATGCAGCCCCACTCTGTATAAACAAGTTACATAAAAAATAACATATTCAATCGATCTATAGCTTGGGTATACATGTGATAACATTCTTCTTCAACAAGAATGAAGATGTGCACAGCAGTATATGCTGACTATGTTCATGGACCCATTTGAAAACACTGGTATTAAAATCCTCATTATACAAGAAAAAACATCTGTAACATTATGACATAAATTATGTATTTGCACTCATGTAAGTATAAAATATTGATTCACATTTAATATACATTTGTTTAGCCCAGCTTCTAAAATAATAGGTTATATATGAATCAGCCTTCAATTACAGACAGGCTTTCATTTCCAAATAACAGATCTGGTGAATCCTCAAATTCTACATGAGTTTGAGAATGGCGTAGTGCATACAGTACATACACAACGTTTGGCCCTCATTTACATGCACAAACTCCAGAACTGCTGTAAATTTTCTGGGGGGTTTTTTGAGTTGGGAAAATCTTTCTTAACTACATGCACAGGAATAATCAAAAGCAGTAATGCCACACACTAATTGTGCTAAAGTTTTGCAAAATAAAACACACAAAAAATAAATTACATAACTAAAACATGCCTCCAACTTCACACTTTGTAACCATTTCAAATGAACACCTCTATTACTTTAGGAAACAGAACGCCCTCAAGTTAAGGAAACAGTTGCACGCATATGGTATAGGAACAGCATTATTTATTTGTCTTGACCATGCCCGGCTATTGTCAGAGACCCAGCTTTGGGCTTCAGTTTATTTATTCATTTATCTTTTAATGAATGTATTTATTTTCAGGTAATGGCACAGACACAAACTAAAATCAGGTATACACACATACATATATACACACACACACACACACACACATACATATCTATATATACACATATATATATACACTAGCGGTGCAACGATACTTCAATCGATATTGAACCGTTCCATACAGTGCTTTCGGTTCGGCACGCATATGTATCGAACAATACAAAATTTTAAATTTATTTTATCAACTTT